TTGCAGCGCATTCTCCGATAAAGAGGCGACGTGATGAGGATAATCCTGATAGCGTAGCCGGGCGGGATGGGATGCGTCTCAGGCCAGCGGCTGCATTGAAGCACACAGGCTGTGGGACACATTGATTTTTTTTTTTGTATTTTATGTATGCTATTTAAATATTATTTCATGTAAATAATAACAACAATTTTTTATGTTTACATAATTTGCGCATTATGTTTTTATTTCCCCGTTTCTTCTTTATTTCAACACTACAACACAAGCACAAACATAGAAACTTAACATAACTTAAATTCAGTACAACTAATGAAAACACATGACACGGGAAACATAAAGATAAACTACTACACTCAACACATACATGTCATTGTTTAGTCACGACCTCCTAGTATTCTCTGCTCCAACCACTTAAATTTTTCTTCCAGCTTATTTTTTTCTTCTTCCACCTCTTTGAGTTTCTCCTTCGACTCCGTAGTTTCTCGTTTGTATTCTCATTCATATTCCAACTGTTTTTTGGTCAAATCATGAAGATACTGCAAATATTGTTTGTAGCATTCCTGCTAACAAGGTTCATCAATCCATACCTCAAAATTGCAAAAATTTCCATTGTTGCCTCTAAACCTGTTCAAACACATCCAGTATCTGCGTCCAACTTGACCGTCATCCCAACAGTCCGTCATCATACAACGTTTGCCACATTGGTACATACATGCAGTCAGACATTTGTTAAAGCGAAAAAAACCCCTGCTTTTATGGAAAGTTTTGCTATTTGTTATGGTTAAGTGCAGAAAACAACTAGAATGCGCCCGTTTTTTATAGGCAAGACAACACACAAAACGTAGTATTTAACCGCTCTATATATATTCACACAAAACGTAGTATTTAACCGTGCTATATATATTCACACAAAATATAGTATTTAACCGCGCTATGCTTGGCGTGTTAAATATTCTTTCTAATACGAAACAACTTTTTCGCAGTCGGGCAGCTTTTCAGATCGACAAGACAACACACAAAACGTAGTATTTAACCGCGCTATATATATTCACACAAAATGTAGTATTTAACCGCGCTATGCTTGGCGTGTTAAATATTTTTTCTGATACGAAATAGCTTTTTCGCAGTCGGGCAGCTTTTCAGATCGACAAGACAACACACAAAACGTAGTATTTAACCGCGCTATATATATTCACATAAAACGTAGTATTTAACCGTGCTATGCTTGGCGTGTTAAATATTTTTTCTGATACGAAACAGCTTTTTCGCAGTCGGGCAGCTTTTCAGATCGAGAAGACAACACACAAAACGTAGTATTTAACCGCGCTACATATATTCACTTATTTATCAAACATCTTCCTCTCTTTGACAATGTAGTTTTCTAATAATTTTAGAGTGAAACTCGAAAGTGAACGTAAAAATTTTCCGTTTTTTAATCCAATAATATTTTTGATTGCATGAATGGGAGGGAGAAATTCATTAATTTACTCAACTGAAAAATGTTAAATATCAATAAGATGTAACAAGGCTGTGGAAACATAATTTTATTTGATACATCTTGCAATATAAATAAGTACAGACACTTATTACAAAAACATTATGAAAACAAAACACTACGTGTATCCTTGATAGTTGGGCTTGATAGTTGGGCACATAAGACGAACTTGCACCAAGAACTGGATTACCACCGCCACCCAAACCAGCTGAAGAATATTTACGACGGTCGTGTCCCTTTTGCGAGCATATGTGACATTTACGCGCATAAACGGTATCACCAACATCCATTTGGTTCTGTATACGCGTTCTCTTTTGCACTTGTAGCTTGCGCAAATAGTCCTTGTTACACAGCATTTTAAATGGTTCTGGCGGCCAATAATGCTCAGCGCCCACTGCCTGCAACTGCCCACTATATGTGTTTAAGTATGCAGCAACACTGTATTGCCTATCAACATAGTTGGTTGCCCCTAAACCTCTTTGTTGAAAGCACTTCATGGCATATGAGCACGACATGTGGTAGATGGTCCATTTCCTACATGAAAACAACCTGCCGGCTTCATTTACGGTGTGTATATTATTTGTCCGGTATTGATGGATAGCGATGCGAACTTCAAAAATACCCCGGTCGTGATCATACTGTAAATATGAATGCCAATGTGCTCGCCTCCTGTATTTCTCAAATCTTTTCATCGGTATTGGCATAAATTCAACACCCCTCTCCATCAATTCCGATGCACCTCTATGCCTTTCAACAAACCTCTCTGCCATGTGTTTGAATGTCATCCGAACCATGGCAGTGACAGGCAATCCACGTGCAGACTTCAATAACCCATTGAAAGACTCCGACACATTTGTAGTCAGGGTTCCTCATCATTTGCCACCATCAGCATGCAATGTACACTTGTGAAGCTCATGTCGCATCAACCAATTATAGGCTCTTTCGTCTAACTGTCGGATCGATTCCATGCGCCTCCTGAATTTGCACTGCTGGTGATCAGTTGCAGCCATCCAGCTTAAATCATGTAAGTCCTTGTTGGGATATTTCTTCTGGAAATTGGCCTTCAGGTGCCTCACACAGTAATGCTGGTATGCATAGGGTTCCTGCCATTCAGGCAAATTCTCTACAGAACTTAATATACCACCATGCCGATTAGATATTAGACAAATACCTGAACGTTGTTTGACAACGTGCTGCTTCAAGTGTTTCAAAAATAACGTCCACATCTCTTGGCTTTCATTGGCACAAATTGCAAAAGCTAGTGGAAATATTTGTCCATTGGCATCTACTGCAACGGCGATCAACAACTTAATATCATACTTTCCATAGACATGAGTACCGTCTATGGAAATTACCGGACGGCAATGCACAAAACCATCAATTGCTGGTTTAAATGCCCAGAACACGTATCTAAATATATATTTCGGTATTCCTGCACTCTGCTCATGCTTCCATTCAACAACAGTTCCGGGGTTAAAGTGTTTCAGTGCGGCCATATACCTAGGTAGAGATGCAAATGACTTATCCCAGTCACCATAAACAATTTCACATGCACGTTTGCGCCCGAGATATGCTTTTCTTTTGGTAATAGTACACCCATATTCCTGGTGGACGGATGTAATACACTCTTTGATCTTGTACCTTATGGATACTTCCAAGTGTGGAATCAAGACAAGAGAAATCAAGTCAACATCCAAGTTGAAGTGATTCCCATTGAATGTGTCCATTTCACAAACATGGGTACCAATATATTTACCCACTTTCCACAACCCAGTTTCCTTCTTGGTCGCACGCAGCATCCAGTGACAACCCGTAAACCATCTACGGCAAACAACCTTGTATACTTTCGGACTTGACTCCCATATCATCATCTTACGAAACTCCCTTACGCTGTACATTTTACAAGCCCTGGATATGTGAGCTTTATAGGAAAAATACATGTTCTTTGCCAGCACCGTTGGTTTAGACTCATCCCACATTGCTGACCGAATTTCGTCAAGATCCCTTGTGAGGGCATCCACATCCGGCATACTTGGCAAATTATCAAGGTAGGGAATATGCCTTGAATGAAACAGCACGTGGGACTCGTACACTCTTGGTCTAACGGGAGGTGGAGCATGCTCCCTCGTCAGCTCAGGTTCGACATTCACTTCCTCCTCATCATCACCCTCTTCAGGGAAGGGTTTGTCATCTCCAGACTCATTGGCATTGTTGTTATAATCACTATTATCTTTCTAACTCTGCGCATCTGCCAAATCCCGAGTAAATACGTCGTCTACGGGCAACTGAGTGAGGTCAGGACCATCAAGTTGCTCGTTTTCACTGCACAAACAACAAAATGATAAGCTACTCAAATTGATAAATACTTTACATATAGCTATATCACTTCACTTACAAATCATAATTTGTTGACATTCCATGATGGACATTATCTTGTTGGTGATGACTCCCGAATGGACCACCGTGATCCAACACACCAAAACTACGCATATTCCAACTGAACGTGGGGTCATAACTTGTAAAATTCATATCTGGACGGTATCCCCTGTGGAATATATGAGTGTTAATACAAATTCAATACAACAAAAATAAACATCGTAACACAAAGGAAAATTAAAGTTTACCAGTCGTCTTGTGGATTATGTAAAGTAGGAGAAAAATTATTTCCTCGCTCCTCGTTCGCCCGCGGAGATAAGTTTAGATCCTGCCACACTCTTTCAGCCGGAATCTGTTGGGCTAAAACTGCTCCAGAATAACCACCCGATGATTGAGGGTTATCCCTGCTTTGCGCAACATCATTATTGCGAACGTCTTCAGCCTTCACGTACATTTCCAACATTTTTATCAAAATAAGTTCCCGGTATTCATCCGGAGTCCCCAAAAAATCTCTCAGAGTTTCATCATCCTCGATGTTAAACTCAGCGTAACAAGCAACTCTTGCGGAGTCACAGAATACGGATATGTTTCGGTTATTTTAAGATTCACCGAACGTTTGCTCAACCTCATTTTATTGCATAACAACGATACCAGTCTATCGTACTCCATTGTAAGTAGCAACTTAACATGACTCTGTGGAGATAAACTATAGCTCATTGGGTTATTCGCCACCACAACCTCACCCCCCCTCCCCCCAATATAATGAAACCCTTACTTTTCGCTCTTCAGACATTATGAAAAAAGCTTGAGAATTTAACAACAAGAAAAATTTATCACGAAGTTGGAGTATTTCTGAATGATATTTCTCAAAACCCTTAACGCCTTTACATAAGGCAATGCCCAATCCGGGGATCAAATTTTTGGAAGTAAAACACAGTTTAAAAGGGCGTTTTACATATTTGAATTATTGTTATGTCAGTTAAGCACAGAAAAGTTATTGGTGGGCCCACAAAACATGTATAGCGCGGTATTAAACTGCATTTTATATAAAACGCAGTAATAAACCGCGCTTTACCTTAACGTGACAAACGGCCGTTAAGGTAAAACGCGGTTCATAACCGCGTTTTATATCGAATGATAACTTTTCTTTTTCACATAAAAAAATATTTTGTGTCCAAAAGAACCACATTTTGGTTCCGGACTCCCCTACTCTCTACCGCTACTAACCTCCAGCTTATCTAGCGCTTAAAAGAGAGGGGGAGAGAGAATGACATAGAGAACAAGAACCAAAGCAAACATTGTTTTCCCGTATATAAGAAAACAATTTATTTGAAGGGCATCGGCATCAGCATCCGCTGTAGCAACATCCTCTGTAACTCGAAGAATGCCATTTTATCAAGTACTAGCAGACGAAAAGATATTTACCACCATTGAAGCTTCTTAAGCTCCATATTACTACAAAATTCTGAACCCAAAAAAAAAAAAAACAAGAAAGAGAAGAAGCATATATATATATAGACCCTTCATTTTCACTCCTTTTTCCTGCCACCCCCATTTGAAAATCTTGAAGTATAATCCAAGTTTTACCCCTCTCTACAGCTCTTTGACTTGAAACTACTCAACTTCTCGGATTTACGTAGACTATAATATATAGTTGGTCATTGGAAAGGACTCGCACTGTATTTTGATCCGTTGGTGCATACTTATTTTGAAAATTTGCCGCAAAAAGCTGTAAAATGGAGTCAACCCAAGTTAGATCCGCAAGTTGCGGAGGCAAAGCAGGAGAAACGGCAACTGGGTTTCATCAAATTAGCGGTGAAGGCCAGAGCATAATAATGCCAGTACCAATGGAAGCTGCTGGAAATTCTTTTACTGCTTTACTTGAACTGCCACCAAATCAAGCTTTGGACCTTCTAGTACATTCTGACGAAATGGGTTCAGCTAAACTTTCCCTACCAGATACTCATAACAGGCCCTACTACTCTTCTCCTCTGATTGACAGAGCGTCCGCCGGAGAATTCGCCGGAGAGTTCTCAGTCTTCGCCGCCGGAAATTCGCCGGAGAATGGCTCATTTCCGTCCGACTCACAATTCGTGAAGCAAGAACCAGTTGATTCTGATTCCAATCCTAATTCTTCTCCCGAATTTTCAAATCCAACTTTTGATCAGAAAACCACAAAGCGAAAAGAATGCCAGAAAAAGGTAAATTATATGCGACATGTTTTTTTTTTTTTTTTTTTTTTTTTTTTAGTATAGGAATTTCTATCACTTCATTATAATTAATTTAGGGCCCGTTTGGCCATAAACTTTTTTTAATTTTTTTGTTTGGCCATAAAAATTTTAAACTGAATTTCGAAATTTTTAGGAAATTTGAAAAATTCCAAAAAGTTATTATTCAAAAATTTTCACTTCAAATCACTCAAAAATTCAAAAACAGCTCTAAATTATATTCATGTCCAAACACAACTCTAATTTTCAAATACTATTTTCACTTGAATTTTCTTTTTCCGGAATTTCACAATTCTTCCAAACGTCTAAGTTAGCATGTAATTTCACCTCTATATAACTACTTAAAAATGATAAATTATTGGTTTATCACAAAGAATGGTAGTGTTCAAGTTTAAATTCTGAATGAATTATGATTTGATATATACGAAGTCTGTGTTTTGATGAATGAATTATGTGGAATTCAGGGGAAAGAAAGCAGTAGCAAAAAGAGCAAAAAATCAGCAAATGATACCTCAGAGAAGCTTCCATATGTTCATGTCCGAGCAGCTAGGGGGCAAGCAACAGATAGCCATAGTTTAGCTGAAAGAGTAAAGTGTTTTTGCAGGATTAGTTCTGATAATGTTTTGTTAAATTTGGTTATAATGAGTGCTAATCAAGGTTGTTTAATTGCATATATGTGTGTAGGCAAGGAGAGAGAAGATTAATGCAAGAATGAAGCTATTACAGGAATTGGTCCCAGGATGTAACAAGGTTAGCTGTTATCACTAATTAGTATCAATTAATATGTAGTAGGTTGTATTACCACTAATGCTTTAACTTTGATTTGGTTTTTGATTAGGTGATGGGATTATTAAAGGGTTCCTTTTGATTTGCTGGTTTTTTTACTTTTGTGTGTGCTATTCTAGAATAGTGGGTCGTTTTCGCCCTTTTTAATGAAAAAAGGTGGTCTCTTTTGCACCAAGAAAAGTGATGCGACCTGTATTTTTGAAGTGTATTTCTTACTGTTCATCCAGCTTTTTGATTTGCACATGATGACCAATTACTTTTTACTCTGCTCTTTTCTGAGGTTAATCTTGTCATTTCACTGAAGTTTTGTGTTTTCTTTAGTTTTTGTTGTTAGACTTTCATATGAATATGGAGAAAGACATTGAATCCACAAATATATATATTGCCCGGGTCCTTTAAAATGACAGTAGATGCATGTCGAATTTCTCCAAAAGTTATGCATTTTCAAGAATCTATAGTATTTTGGAGGATCGTAGCAACACAGACAAATATAATGTAGATGCTGCTATAATTTTGAAAATATGAAGGCCCTTTCCCAAGACATGTGTTGATGATGTCTTGCCTAATTTACTCATATGATATAAAGTAAGAGGAAGAAGGATGAACTGACATGTAGATTGCAACTTAATTAAGTTGTACTCTTTATGGGTCCGGTTGTTACCTACCTGTTGCAATTGAGCTTGTTTTTTGGTCTGAGTTTTGTACCAAAACCTTCAAGATTTTAATTACTAACCAAAAGAGTTAGTTTGGTATAAAACACATTGTACAAGTTTGAAGTGGTGATGAGATGACCTGACAAGCCTTTATGCCAAACTTTAATGGATGATGAGGCGGCGTTGCGAAAAACATCTGAAAATTAGACCAGACAGATAATCTTTGAGTTTTATTCTATTTATTTCAGCACAGTATTGATTCTTTCAGATTTTATAGATAGAGGATACTGTCTAAGTTGCACAGCTTAATCAGATCAGTACACAGAAGTTCAAAAACCTCGGGCCAGCAACATGATTTTGGGATGCTTACATATAATACCTGGTGTCATTTATCAAAGTAGTGTATCCATCATAATCTGTTTGTGAAAGAATTTAAGTTATATACACTAATAATATAAAAGAATTTTTATACTATCGTAAGTTACTTTACTACTCTATTTTCAAGTTACTATATCAGGCTAACCATGAAAAGGTACCTGTTGTGTAAAAATGCACAAAGCTTAAAACTCTTTGAGATATAGGGGTAATTAATTCAAAGCCAATATAGTACTTTGGGATTCTTCATTGATTGAATTTGGAGTCCTCTAATGGGGTCGTATGTAGGTACTGTATAGCGTCCACAGAAATAATTAAAAACTGTAGTTTATTATCTTTAGAATAGGTAAGTTGAACCATAGAAAGGAAAACCTATTTTGCTTTACAATGGTTTGTTCTTCTTCCAGGCAGTTAATGCAGTGTATGTTTGCCTTTCTTGGCAGTGAGGGTATTCACCTGGTGGTCCATATATACATATATATATATATATATATATATATATATATATATATGTATATATATATGGCATTATTTCTCACGGCGTTTAGATCAAACTGTAACCTTATACACATTTACCTACCGTGCTTATCATTTACATTTGCTTATTAGATGTTTGTACTTGATAATTAGCTCTTTCTTGATTTTGATTATGAATAGTAGCTCATACATGAAATATATGTTATAACTCCTTGACAGAAAAATATTATAGCTCCTTAAAATCTTTCAAAATAAATGAGAAACCAAAAAACATCCAACTCATGGGAAAAAACATCCAACAAGCAACAATTTAAAACTGATCTTGAGACACAAGTTTAACACGGATTTCATCTCATATTGATATTAATTAACTTTATCTCTAGAAAGTTTTATGCTTGTTCACATAAAAAGAAAGTATCTAATGAACTAATTTATCAGAAGTTCTATACATTTGATTACTTTCCCTTTTTATAGTGTAAGCACTTGGAAGACTGATGTTTACAAACAAATAATTTCAATCAAATTTAGTAGCGCATTGTGAAGATTGGACTATGTTTTGCAGATTTCAGGTACCGCGATGGTGCTGGATGAGATCATTAACCATGTACAATCCCTACAGCGTCAAGTGGAGGTAAGACCTTGAAAATCCTCACATCTTATTTACTAGTGCGGAAATCTTGGATTTTCAATATTTGTTGTTACTTCATATGTGAAAATTTCAATAATGATTCTTATTGTGACGCCCTCTAGTTTTTAGTATTACATGGAGAGTAAGTCAGCTTTGGATAGTAAATATATAGTATTCGAACCTTGTTGCCTTCAGGCCTTATCTTCTGTTTCATTTAGACATACTTTTAGGAGTGTGGTCGAAGATAGTCATAGATCAAGGTTATCCCACTTAAGAAGTGAACGTTCAAAAAATTGCGTTGCCTATTTTTTGTTTTTGGATTATATTTAAGTAAGTGGTCTCCGTTCTTTTCCTGAAGGAGCTTTCTTTGGCTTGCAGTTCTTATCAATGAGACTTGCTGCAGTAAACCCAAGAGTAGATTTCAACCTTGATAGTCTCTTTGTTGCAGAAGTAAGTTTTCCTTCCTCATCAACTTCCTTAAATTGTGAGTTACATAAATAGTTGTATTATTTTATTTAGGGCTGTTAAATTTCTTGGCCCCCCCTTAAAATTATAAAGGGCCAGTTTCAACCAACCCAAGTGTCAGAGCAGTGGTCAATTGTGGACCACCATTATTTTCTGCCAGTCTGTGCACATTTACACCATAGAACTGTTCATATAGAACATGATCAATTGAAGGGTTGCCTGTCACCATGCCATAATGTTGTTAGCCTTGGGAGTTACCTTTGTCAGACTCAATTTAAGTGGGTCCTCAATTCATTAAATCAGTGAATAGAGAATTGGCAAGGGTATCTCTACAATCAACCTTATCAAAAGTTATGAGCCATCTCACACTGTCTTTTCTACAATGCTGGAAATGCAGAAATATCTTGAAGTGTCATGTTTTGCTGCAATGTATTAGGGATTAAGGCGTCGTGGATTGACTGATAATGATTAAAATCATAACAATCGATGGTTGGATTTTGAATTCACTTGCTTCTATGCTTTATTATAAAGTCTAGCTCTTTTGCTAGCTTGTGATTGACATCTGTTGATTGGCCTTAACGTCTAAACAATGTGATAATTTATGTTCATAAGTTCAAAATATCATACGCGTAATAATCTTTATTAAAAGGAAAAGATCTTTCCTGTATCTAATAATTTTCATTTGCTTTTGAAAAATTGCAGAGTGGTTCTACAGTGGACAGTAGCTTCGCGGGCATAGTTGCTCCATCGATTTGGCCTGAGGGACAAACCAGTGGGAATAGAAACCAGTATCAACAGCTGTTGCAAATTGACGGATTCAATCAGTCTGTCTGGGTTAGGGAAGAAGATAATTCTAGCTTCATTACTCCAGAGAACTCACTTTTGACTTATGATTCCTCTGCAAATTCAGGTAAATCCCGGTACTGGAAAACATATATAGGGAAATTATATGTCAAAGTAGAACCAGTGACTATTGTAAACTTCACGGTCTGTTCATTATGTGCAGCTTCTTTGCACCAAAATCAGCTGAAAATGGAGCTATGAATGTAGAGGCAAGGCTTTTTCCTAGTGGTTACCGGTGTATATATCGGACATAAAAGTTTATAGGAGGCAGCATTGGAGTAGAAGGTTCTCAATAGTTAACCTTATGAGTTTCCATTTCAGGTTGATCTCTGCTAGAGAGGGAGAGAATTAGTTGTATTCCCTATAAATATCTAATTTCTCTATGCATATATAAATAGATTTGTCTATACTAACATAGATGAGTCATTCTCTCTGATACACTTGGTGTATGAGGACTGATTGATTCACAATTGTATTACAAGAATGATTATTAGCAATTACACTATTATGCAGATTAAACTATTTCTTTTGGTTTCTCTTAATCTCAAACACTTTTGCCCTTACTAGTATAGGAATATAGGTTGTGTTGAAATCCCCACATGGCCACTTTGCCTATGTCTGCTTATGAGAAATATTAATCTGATGAGCTTGGTTACTCTTACCACCGTTGGTTTCTGTCATTAGATTGCAGCTATTCTACGTCAAGACAATATATTTAAGTTATAAGTTTATTTCTGGTGAACCACCAAAATTGGGGGGAAGTGCACGGTTAGCCACTCATAACATATGTATTTACTTTTAAGCCGCTGTTTAAAATGTCTCTAGTCTTTAGCCATTGCTTTAATAAACTTTAACTGTCCGGACGAAAATACCCTTCTACTCATGTCCTTAACTTTTGAACTTAACTTCAGGACTACACGTCCTTAACTTTTGAACTTATAACTCTAAGTTCAGGACTTCAGGACTACATGTCCTTAACTTTTGAACTTGGAACTCTAAGTTCAGGACTACATGTCCTTAACTGTTGAACTTGTAACTTAGTTCAGGACCAAGTGTCCTTAACTTTTGAACTTCGAACTCAAACTTCAGGACCAAGTGTCCTTAACTTATGTACTTGTATGTCAAAGTTGAGGAACAAGTGTCCTTAACTTTTGAACTTGTAAGTCAAAGTTAAGGACCTATTGTCCTTAACTTTTGATCTTGTAACTGTAAGTTAAGGACTGCCTGTCCTTAACTTTTGTACTTGTTAGTCTAAGTTCAGGACAAAGTGTCCTTAACTTTTGAACTTGTAAGTCTAAGTTAAGGACATATTGTCCTTAACTTTTGAACTTGTAACTGTAAGTTAAGGACATATTGTCCTTAACTTTGAACTTATAACTGTAAGTTAAGGGCTGCATGTCCTTAACTTTTGAACTTGTAACTGTAAGTTAAGGACTGCCTGTCCTTAACTTTTGAACTTGTAACTGTAAGTTAAGAACTGCCTTTTCTTAACTTTTGAACTTGTAAGTTGTAACTCTAAGTTCAGGACTTCAGGACTACATGTCCTTAACTTTTGAACTTATATGTAAGATTATCATGTTCAAGATTCTTGGTATGAATTAAAGTTTATGCTTACATGTAGTATCAAGAGTCTTGATTGTTTGAACCGTTAATCTTTGTTTACTAGTATAGTATGAACGAAATCACCGTGGCTTTGATTGAAAAAAAAAATCTCTTCATCAAATCTGCAAGAACATTAATATTCATGTTTTCTCTTTTCTCCAAATTTAGAGCCTTTGTCTGTGTCATATTATTTACATTAGTTGATGTTGTTGATGTTACAACGAAAGAATAGTAGCTACTAAAAAATTAAAATAATGATTTTAGAGCTTATTTCTCCCAAACTGTTTTGACATAATGGGGACGCTTCAGGCTGCGTCAGTTACAACGTAAGTATGTAATAGGTTTGGGAAGAAAAGCTATGGAAGAAAGGGTAAAAATATCTTCTCATATTAATTTTAATAGAGTAGTGGCTATTTTTGCTCAACATTAGAATTGCTGGATAAAAAATAAATAGCACCTTAAATAGTGGCTACCCCACGCCATTTCTATCAAAAAATTGTGGTCTAATTATGTATGGTTATGTACTTGGCAAGTTCATCTTTGTGACCTAAAATAGTTGAGTCTTAAAAGGTAAAACTAGCACGGGCTAGCCAGTTTTTGGACTATTCATTCAAAAATAGCCAGCGTTTGCAAAGTCATGGAAAAATAGTCACTATTTTGCTGCAACATAGACCGGTCCAGCATAATATACTGGAGATCGGTGCACCTGTGTATGAACTTCCGGCATATTATGTTGGAACTCCAACACGCAGAAAGTTCCAACATAATATACTGGAGATTGGAGCACTTGTGTATGAACATCCAGCATATTATGTTGGACCGGTATATTATACTGGAACTCCAGTATATTATCCTGGAGTTCCAGTATACTTATGCTGGAACTCCATTATAATATACTGGAGTTCAGTATACTTATGCTAGAACTCCAGTATATTATGCTGGAGTATTTTCCGGATTTTGAACAGTGTTTTCGTTCAGATTTATCTTTACATGAAAAGTGGCTAAATTTTGATTACTTTTGTAACTGTAGCTATTTTTGAATGACCACTTGTAAATCTGGCTATTTTTGAATTTCTCCCTCTTAAAAGCCACTTGATACATTAGATCATGGGAAAAAGAGAAAGTTCATTCTAGAAATTAAAGGTAAAATGGGCTAAGGGCCCCTTAAACTTGCATAGTTTAAATAAACGGGACTTTTGCATTTATACATAGTTTTGAGGTTACAATTGAACTTATACCCACTTTGTACAAAACTTTGCAAGTCTATCCACTTTAGGATCAACTTCACACTTATCGAATCTGAAGTTAAAAAAAAATTAGTCTGAAGTACATTGCACTTAAGGCCAATTAAGCTAAAGTGCAAAAACTACACTTAAGATGCACTTAAGGTCAAATAGGTCTGAAGTGAAAAAGTTATACTTCAGATGCACTTAAGGCCAAACAGGTCTGAAGTGTAACCAATGTTTTCATGCACTTAATGCCAAATAGGTCTGAAGTGCGACAAATGTTTTCATCCACTTAAGGCCACATAGGTCCAAAGTACAAATTGCCCAGAAACAGAAATTTGTTCTTCGAATTTCAACAATCCAATACACCTAAATTTACTCCAAATGAGCTTAAATTTAAGACATAACCTCCAAATATCATCAAGAACAAATCCCAATAATTCATTTGTCAAAACAATAATAAATCTCACAAACTAATTTTGTAATTAAGAAGAAGAAGAAACCCTAAGCAAGCAGTAGTAAAGAAATAAGCGCCACAGCAGCTCACCACTGTAAAATACCATAAACTACCTTAAATATGCTCACAAATACAATATGAATTCACCATCACCTTTATTTTTCACAACGAAGGAGAAGAAGAAGAATAAGAAGAAGAAGAAGAAAAAGGCCTGATGTTATCTAAACTTTGGGTACTAGTTAAAAAAATTTAAAAAGTGGGTACAGGTTAAATGGGGGCGACCAAATAGGGCACCCCGTGCAATTTTTACTAAACAAGCTTACGAGTATCCCGCTTAAGCACTCATATTTCATGGAACGAGTACTAATAAACGTATCTAACTGTTCATTATGCAAACGTGGCAGTAGCATAAGTGATGTGGACAAAATGCGTCGAAATCACACAGTTAATAACCGTTGACTATGCTTACGTGGCAATAGCATAAGTGGTGTAGATGAAATGCATGGAAACCATGCAATTAATGTTAAATACTACTCCTTTCATTTTAATTTATGTGAATCTATTTCTTTTTCAATCCTTGCTAAAAAGAATGGCCCATTTCCATATTTGAAAATAATTTACAGCCGCACAAAATATATCTACCTTATTTTACACCAAAAGTTCAAAAGTCATTCTCTTTTTTTCTTAACCTTCATGCGCAGTCAAATAGATTCACATAAATTGAAACAAAAGGAGTATAATTTTGATTTAAAAATACTTATATTAGAAAAAAAAGATGATAAATGAAAAGAAAAAGAACAAAAGCCAAGAAAAGGAGAAACGACGATGACCTAAAACTTTTCTCTCTAGGCGATAGGCGATTTTGAGGTGACACACCGGCGACTCCCTTTCATGGCCAATTTGGCCGATGGCCAGCCTCCTACGTCGACTGCCCACCCCCAACACAATATTACAAACACAAAAACAACCCTAGATTTCTCAAATTTATTGAAGCCCAGGTCATTAAATGCGCCCATGCAAAAGAATCCTATTGCCGCGACTCTTCCTCCTATTCCCATCAAACCTATTACGTTTCTACATGGCCAACCTCTTATTAAGTGGATTTAATCAGAAGTTAAACGTATGAATGTGATCAAAGGACTCCAATATGCTGTACTTGGGAAATTTTCTTATAGATGGCCTGAGTTGAAGAACTTCGTAAGATAATTTCAGCACAATGTGGTATTAAAGGTGAATGTAACATTGACTTCTTCAGGAATAGACAAGTTTTGATACACTTGACCTTACTGGAAGATTTTGTGAACTTGACCTTAAGAGGTGTTTACTACGTAAAGGCCAAAAATGGTTATCAATATCAAATGAGGCCCTTGATTTATGACTCCAAGTTCAAGATTAATGAAGAAAAATCACTAGCTCTAGCTTGGATATCTTTCTCTAATCTATTGCCAACCTTTTTTGTTAAAGAGTGTTTATTCTCCTTCGCCTTTGCAATGGGTAAACCCTTGCATATTGATATTGCAACAATCAATAAAACTAGACCTAGTTATGCTAGAGTAAAAGTCCAAGTTGATTTATTAGATGATTTGCCAAAGAAAATTCATATGGAAATAGAAGATGAAGTCACTGGAGCTATAAAACTGAGTGGGTGAGGATTTAATATGATTATATTCCAAAGTATTTCAAGGAATGTAAATTACAAGGTCATAATGAGGACATATATTAGAGACTACATCCGGAATTAATGAAGGACAATGGGAATGACAAGCAGGTTTCAGAGGTTAAATAAGACACCAACAACAAAGATAAGGGAAAAGACAAAGGTCCATTGATGATTCTTACAAGTGGCAATGTGGTAGGGAATGCAACTGAACAATTGAAGGAGGTTAGAGATAATCGAGTAAAGAAGTCAGTCCAACAAGAAGATGTTCAAGGAAAATCTGGAAAAGAAATTTTTCCAGTAGAAGATGCGAATAAAAAAAATTGCAAACAGCTAATAAATTTGCAACTTTGGAGGCGGAGGATGGTAAAAAAGAAGAAAATAATAATCAGCTGGCTTTGGTGGAAAGTGGTACTGTGCATCGTTGCCCTAGACCTAGTCCTAGCGGTACTAGGAAAACTTAAAACCCAGCAGCTCCTGTGTACAGGCCATCTTCATCTGGGACTGGAGCATCTACAGAAGGAGTCAATGCAAGTATTAAACACAATGACAAGGAGAACAAACAAGCAACTTTGAAGGA